TCCCCGTCGGAGCATCCTCGTGCAATGCGCGGGGGGGGGGGGTGTTAGTTGCCAGGAAGGACTAGTTAGAGTCAAGATACATAAATAACTGGAGGATAGGTATTGCAGTAAAACAGCCACTTTGAGGTCCCCCATTGAGTGTCCTGAGAGGTTGATATGTTCTCTTACAGGTTTCTCAGTTTTGTGATTCTTGATCTCAGATCTGTGTCCATTTATTCTTTGGCATAGGATTTGACCAGTTTACTCTATGAAAAGAACTGAAGTCAAGAAACAGATTAACAAAGCCAGAATGGAACTCAGAGAAAACCTGTTGCAAGACAGGCCCAAAAGAGACAATAACAGCACCCTATTAATGGTCACATACAGCTCTCAACTCAAAACAGTTCAACACATCATCTGCGACTTATAGCCTTTACTGGATAATGACCCACCTGAAGAAATACCTTCCATTAGTGGAGATTTACCATGGGATCCAGAAAAAAATTACACTTTTTGAAAAATTCAAGATAACTTGCAATTTAACTTTAAAAGGTACTATGATCCCGGTCACACGGGCCAGAAAATGCGGGGGGAAGCACGCCTTTTTGCCCCGGAGCAAAATAACGTGCGGCCGCCCAATCACACATCCCGTCGAGGTCCCGTGGTTAGGGCGGGAGGTACCGATCACACAGCTCTCCTGCAAGGTGGCAAAGAAGTGGTGGGGCACGATCACACCAGCAATTGCTAGGCGCCGTTTCTGTGGCAATCGGGAATATTTGTTTTTTCACCAGAAGGTGAGCATGCGCATGATCGTTTGTGCTCATCCTGTGCAGACTGAAAAAAAAAGTAACCGGTTTGCGATGGGACTAGGACGGGATGCAATCAGATGCCCGCCCTTGCCCCGCGTCTTCCAGAAACTAGTACCTTGTAGGTACTAGTTTTTTAATCCGCATCTTCGGCTTCCCAGATGTTGTGGCGTGATCGCGCCTGGAAAATCCGCCTATCATCCTTCTCTTTAGCGCGGCAAATGCTCCATGTGAACGGGGCCAATGTATTGTTAAAACAAAAGGTATTGTTAAAGTTTTCTCTTTTATTCTCTTGGCTATTAACACGCTAGAACCAACAAAATGTCAAACCATTAAAAACTATGCCATTAATTCATAGCGAACTCTCGGATGTATGCCATCTGGGCCTGGTGATTTTTCAGTTTTTAAGTTGTCTATCAGTTTTAGGACCTCCTCTCTCGTCACCTCAATCTGACTCAGGTCTTTCAACACCCCTCCTGAAATCAGTGGTTCTGGAGTGGGCAAGCACTTCTCATCTTCCACAGTGAAGACGGAGGCAAAAAATGCGTTTAGCTTCTCAGCCATTTCCCTATCATCCTTCAATACTCCTTTTACCCCTTGGTCGTCCAAGGGCCCCACTGCCTCCCTGGCTGGTTTCCTGTTTCTAATGTATTTGAAGAAAGTTTTATTGTTGGTTTTTACGTTTTTTGCTATATGCTCCTCATATTCCCTTTTTGCCTGCCTGACCTCAGACTTGCATTTTATTTGCCATAGCCTGTGTTCCATTTTATCAGCCTCATAGCCTCATTGATTAAAATTTGTCCACACCCATTAAAATCAGACCAGCAATTAAACCATGAATACTTAATATACAAATGAAATAAATTGCAGTAAACAGCCCCAATATTTGTTCATGAGGCATACCCAGCACTGTTTCTGTTCTGATATCATTGAAACTGAAGCAATTTTCCTGGCTTTCTGCCTCTAGAAATTAGATAGGTATTAACAGAGAGAGGGCCTGTTTAGTAGTGGTGCTCCATTAATGGATCATGCTATAAACAGGGCACCACCACTGAAAAGTCTGTTTCATAGAGGTGTCAGATGTTTTAAAAAATGCAAACCTTTTAATGTTTGAAGTTGCTATAGCTATAGCATAGGTAAAATAAAAGTCTTATTTTACCATTTTATAATTCAGTGATAATTTAGTATATTGATTTTATATCTTGTTTTTAATTTTACTGGCAAACCACTGTGGAGATTTTATAGGGGAAAAAATTGAGGAATAAATATTTAAATAAACTGAGCTTGTGTAAAAAGAATTTAATAGATGGTATTCCAAATTTGGCAAAAATACCTAAAAGTACATAAAATTAAGGTGGCATCAGATTAACAGCATTATCAGAATTTAAGACTAACAGGTAATTTTGTTTAAAGGCTTCAAAATGGGAAGGTAGGTCCCTGACCTGGATAGCCCAGGCAAGACCGATCTCGTCAGATCTCGGAAGATAAGCAGGGCCGACCCTGGCAAGTACTTGGATGGGAGACCTCCAGAGAATACCAGGGCTGGGAGGCCCAGAGGCAGGCTATCAAGTCACTTCTCTGAATGTCCTCCATGCCCCAGTAGAAATCACCAGAGGTCACCATGACACACACACACACACAAATGCAAAAATACACACACAAAAAAGTGAAGGTAGGAATGCAGAGGACTGATGATGCCCTAGAGATGATTTTGACAAGTACAATATTAATTCCCATTTCCTCTATCTCTCCTTTTTTCTGTCTATCTAGCTAATAGCAACAAAATCAAAAAATAGCCATCCAAATAAAAAGCTCAGTAATGAAGGGACTTCACGCTTATCATATTGTTTTTCTGTGAAATCATCAACAAACTGAAGAATATAAGAGGATTTACTCTTAAGGTTACCTAAATATAGATCAAGATTATCTTGTGGCCAGATGGAAATTTAGCACATACAGAACATTCTTACCCAAGGGTATTTCTTTTGTTTTGGCCCCAGGGATTGTGGTGTAAAGATATTTTTTTAAAATTCAGTAACTGGCAGCCACTCAACCACTCAGTTATAATTCCCTGATTAAGTCAAAAGAATCTTCACAAATACATATCAAAGATATATTTTTAATAATTCTCTCATAACTGGGTCAAAAAAATGTGCCTTAGGCATTGAAATCCCTTATATGTTAATCAGGCATATTTTGCCAGCTAACAGGTTTGAAACTGTGAACCCTATGAAGCTTATTATCTGTAAAACTTGACATTACTTGTTTTCAGTTTCTCTTAAATACTGTATGTCCTGTTTCAACATATTCTGTGGCAAAGGAATTGATTCCTTTGTCCTGCTTTTGATCATTCTCTCATGCTGAGACACACATGCACCACACACACACACACACACACACACAATGCCTATATTTTGCACAACAGGAAGAGTGTTGTGGTGGCATCCCTTGACTCTGACGTCTTTCTCCACCACGTGCCAAAGTGGCAAACCACCAACTTCATAAGCTGAAATCATTATTATATCATCTCAAAAGCAAACACAACAACTGGATCTCAGAAGTTGCATTAGACCATCAAAGTCTACAACTTAATGACATCTTTAAATTTTGAGAAAATATTATCTGGGGCACAGTGTGGGACGCAATGTTAGCCCAAGAAACGAGGCTGAAGTTGGTTCCTTATTCCAAGTTCCTTGTTCATTCCCTTTTTGGGTACAGAGGGCCCTTTATTCAAATCTGGGAGGCTCTCTGAATAGAAGTTCATGGTGCCAGAACCAGTGTTGGACCAGGCATCACTGTATGTCATCTTGCAGGGGACAGTCTCCAGAGCGTGGGGATGTTTCAGTTGGGGTGGTCCAAAGATTGTTTTGGGGTGCAGCCAGGCCCCACTGTTTGCCTGTGTGACTTCCCTTGGGGCACCTCACTTTGGAGCAGCTGGCACAAGAAACGCTCTTTGGACCAGGACACAACATATGTCTCCTCGAAGGGGAGAGTTCACTGAACATGGAGATGTATGACATGTGGCAGTCCAAACTTTATTCCAGGATGCAGTGAGCAAACAGTCAAACCAGTTCCTTATTCAAATCTTTTTTCTTTCTTTTTTTAAATACAGGTTTCTTGGGGGCAACCGAAATAGAAGCCTGTGGCTCCAGAACCAGTATTTGGACCGGGCTCCACTGCATGTCATCTTGCAGGGGATAGTCTCCAGAGCATGGTGATGTGTCATTTGGGGTGGTCCAAAGATTGTTTTGGGGTGCAGCTTGGCCCCAGTTACTGCCTGTGTGATTGTCCTGGGGGCACTGCACTTTAGAGCGACTGGCACAAGAACTGCACTTTGGACCAGGACACAGCATATGTCCCCTCGAAGGGGAGAGTTCACTGAACATGGGGTGTATTACGTTTGGGGGTCCAAATCTTATTTTGGGGTTCAGAGCTTTCAAACTCTCCTCAGCGTTTTTGGATGAATACATGAATAAGACGCGAATAAGGAATGAATAGGGAACTGGGAATAAGGAACCAACTTCAGCCTCAAGCCCAAGAAAGGAGGGGATGTGTTGTTGTTTTTCGTTCACAACTGTGGCAGGTACTGGAGAGGCAAGTTCAGTGTAGGATTTTCAAAGAGACAGCACAAGTGAAGGTTCTGCTTTCTACAACAGGATATCAGCCCTTTTTCATAACTATCAATACATTTAATTCTCAACTTGGCCCCATCTGTGGAAAACTGAGCCATGCACAGACCAGCCAGATCTTTCTACAAACCTAAAACAAACAAACAAACTCCCCAGACTTGCAGAAAAATCTGCTATCTTAACCCCGCCCCCCCACACACACACTGGGGGATTAACTCTTCAAATAACAGAAACAGCACAAGTAGCTTTAAGAAATGAATGCTCTCTCACTGGCAATTGTATGGGGTTGCTAAGGTACCTCAATAGTACTGCAAGCCTTCAAGCCTTGGATCCTGTCAATAAGGGGCGGTCAGAGCCCTTTCCAGGTACTCATTTCAGAGAGGACTCATTGGGGCCAGGCCACGAATCAACCATCAAGTGACTTAGAATCATAGAATTATTGAGTTGGAAAGGACCTCCAGGGTCATCTAGTCAAACCCCCTGCACAATGCAGGAAATTCACAAATACCCCCCGCACACACACAGTGACCCCTGCTCCATGCCCAGAATATGGCCAAAAAAACCCCCCCTCCATGATACTTATCCAAACTGGCCTGCAGAAAATTGCTTCCCAAACCCAAAGTGGTGGTTGGCATTTCCATGGGTGTGTAAGAAAGGGCCACTGTTGCAACCCTGCCTGTCCTCTCTCTCATGATCAGCCTAAGTTCACAGAAACAGCACTGCTGTCAGGTGGCCATCTAGCTTCTGTTTCAAAATCTCCAAAGAAGGTAGACTTGCTACCAGACAATTTGCATGACTTACCCAGGACTGGCTGCTTGCTACTGGTCAACAGCAGTCATCCCACAAAAGCCAGTGTGGTAAAGTGGTTAGAATTTCAGGATAGGATCTGGGAGACCTAGGTTTGAATCTCCAATTTGCCATGGAAGTTCATTGTGTGACTTTGGGCCAGTCACAAACTCTCAATCTAACCTACCTCACAGGGTTGTTGTGAAGATAAAATGACTGCTTTGGGTCCCTATCGAGGAAGTAAATGGGGTATAAATGAAGTAAATAAATAATAAATGTAGCTGAAGATGGGGGACAGATAAAAGATAGTCTGGGTGGTAGGTAGGAAGAAGAGAAGAAAGAAGGAAAAGGGGAAAGAATATGGAGGCTGCCAGGAGGAGGAAAAGAGGGACTCGTTAAGGCCAGGAATACAGAGGAAAGTCAGGTGCCCCACCCCATGTCCTTCAAGAAACCCCACAGTGCAACTGGGCCCAGTGGCTAGCACCACACAACTGGGTGTGGTGTCCAGCACTGCACATCTTAGCCAGAGTTTTCCCAGTTGCCAGGAAGAGAGAAGCAGATAAGCAGAAGACTGGGGGCAGATAAAGGTAGATTGGCTGGTGGGTAGGAAGGAGAGAAGTGAGCAAGAAAAGGTGAAAGACTGTGGGATTGCCATGGGAGGGAAGTAGGAAATGAGATACACCCCTCCAATGTTCCCTCTAAGCTGAGTTAGTGTGAGCTAGCTCACACTAACTCAGCTTAGAGGGAACACTGCACCCCTCCCATTCTAATCCTTGCAAGTCCCCCATATCTTAGCACTAACCATTGAAAAATAGCACCACTGTAGTCTTGTACATAGCTATGGACTACTTATTCTGTGAGATGCTTCACAATCTGCTCCTGACCCCTCCCTCCTCTGCTATCAAGAGGAATGATTGTAATTTCTAGATGATAGTTGACACTGTGATAGATAGAATGTCTTTTTAAAAGGTTGACATTGCTATTCTTTTTGTTACACATTTAATTCACACTTCTGAGCTGCATAGAAAATGTGTCATGCTCTTTTAATAAAGTTTTTTCCCACCTCTGTCAGACTGTAAAAATCATTCTAATATGAATAAGTGAATATTGACATTGCATTGTAAATAATACTAAAATAATCCAGGGTTTTCTGCTCAGGTCCCCCACCAACACACAAAATTCCTGGTGTTTACAGTGCAGCTCTAAAGAAAGCAATTCAACTAACATAAAATGCCATTACTCCCCACCCATACATAAGCTGAAAGTCCTAAAAGGTTTTCATTTTGTCATTATGATATAGTGGATGAGTTTAAACTGATATGTGAAATCGATTTAATGGGAGTTTTAATCATTAGACACTCTGAGACCCTTTTTTCATTATAGTCGATTTGACAATATGAAACTGTGTAGGATTACCAAGAGGTTCTGCCTTGGGGGTGGATCAGGGTAAAAAATCCAAATCTGTCAATCAATACATTTCCTGTTCTTAATTTCTTCACTTAGGTGAAACTTACGTGCGGATGACAACCATGAAACTGTAACCAATGCATCCAACCCCTACGAGGAAATAGGAGAGAGGCAGCCGGAACTTCAACCATCCAATGGTTCGCTGATTATCGTAATAGCCATAAAAGAGCACAGAATATTGTGCGAAGCCCTGAAAAGGAACAATTTAGAAACTCTTACCAAGCAACTTCAAGCAATACTGTAGAGGAAACAGAACAGTCATAGCAATAAGAAATACACCATAATTTTAACTCTGCTTAGGATTGCACTGGTTTTGACAACAGCCCCTCAGGTCATTGTGCACATCACAGTAGGGTTCAGAAAGGCAGGCAGGAAGGAGAGCTGTAAGATGGTGGGAGGGAAGGTTCCCTTATAGTCCAGGAGGAGGGGCCAGTCCCCATTGTGTTTGTCGACTCCTCCTCAAATGTCCTCCTCCTCAAATGTCCAAACTCTCCTTCTAATTAACAGCCTAGCCACTAGAATTAGGGGTAAATAAACACTTTTCTTCATGATGGACCTTAGATGCATGCCTCACCAGAGTCAAGGCTTGTCCAAACCCACTTTCTTCTGTTCTGAAGCTGCCAGCTGTTACTTTTCCTCAGGTTTTCTGTCTCTGCTGTCCCTTCCCTACCAGAAAATTTTCAAATCTGTTTCATAGAAAAGCTCAGATGATGATATAGAAGGCACCTAGATGAGTCCCATGGGCTTCCTGTGGATACAATCAACTGGGAAAACAGGCAAGAACACCACAGCAGATGATATAGAAGGCACCTAGATGAGTCCCATGGGCTTCCTGTGGATACAATCAACTGGGAAAACAGGCAAGAACACCACAGCAGATGATATAGAAGGCACCTAGATGAGTCCCATGGGCTTCCTGTGGATACAATCAACTGGGAAAACAGGCAAGAACACCACAGCAGATGATATAGAAGGCACCTAGATGAGTCCCATGGGCTTCCTGTGTTTTTTTACAGAGAAATTAGTCTTCATGTAGGCAAAGTCAACATTATAACAAACAATGTCACCACTGTGATAGGCTTAAAAGTCTAACTTAGGGCTCAGAATCCCTTTCCATTAACAACTACCATTCTCAGAAGTCTTTACACCAGGAACTTCCTGTTAGAAAGATCTATAAAGCAGGTCCGGGGAGCAACTGTTTCTTTTGTCCCCTCTCTCTTCTCTATATCTCCATGGAAGGTATGTTTTAGGAAAGGTTAGGGGACTCATAAGGGGGAAGGACTACTATTAACTTCAGGCAGGCTATGAACACTGAAAAGATGGCAGGGAAGCATTTGGGTCAGCTCCTGAAGTTTTAGAAAAGTCTCTGAAGAAGCTTGAAAAGAGTAAACTAATCCAATGGGGGGGCACTGCCTATCTCTAATTGTACTGAGAGCAGCATGAATATATCTTACAAGTGAGGACTCACAAAAAACTTGCAGGAGCAGTTACCCAATTCCCCACACCTTTGCTTCCTCCCCCTTACTTCCCACAATATGTCCCCTTTCTCCATCCCACCACCCCTTTTCTTACTCTTTCTCTATCCCATGGCTGTAACGTTCTTTCTGCGCCCACCCCACCCCATTGCTCTCTCTTTCTTTTTCTACCTCCCCACCTCGTCACTCCTTCTGTCCTCCATCCCATCACTATTTCTCTGTCCCCCCATACCACCACTTTTTCTTTCTAGCCCTCATCACTCTCCCAGCCACCAGCCTACAGCCCCCCCCCCCACAGCAGCAGCAGTGGCAGCTCTGCTAGCTGCCTGCCTCCTTCTCCCCCATCCCACAGCAGTACTGGTGGTGGCAGCTTTCCCCGCTGCCCACCAGCTTCTTCCCCCACACAGCAGCAGTGGTGGCAGCTCTCCCAACCACCTGCCTGCTCCCCCCACACACACAGCAGCATTGATGGGGGCTCTGCTGGCTGCCCACCCACTTCTCCCTCCCCCCAAGCAGCAGCAGTAGCTCTCTCAGCCACCTGCTCCCCCAGCAGCAGTGGCAGGGCCTTCCAGAGCAATCGTGTCAGCACCAAGGTCCCTGGGAGCCACTGCATCAGTGGCAGGGTCCCCAGGAGCTGCCGCACCAGCTGCGGGGCTCCCTTCTGGTAAGTGCTCAGAGTGTGCACAGAGAATGTTTTTGTGGGGGGGGGAGTTAAACCCCACAATGTTTTTTTAATGATTTTAGATTTTCCCACAAATCTAGGGATTCCCCCAAGTTTGAAGAAAAGTCTCCTTTCTCTCAGTCCATGGATTTAGGTATCCTCAGATCTGCCTAGACTTGAGAAATAGATATATAGACAAGATTAAAGAATCCCCTCCTGTAATAACTCCACAGCACCCGGTACCAAATAGAATAGAATTTTACAAGTGGGGACCTGTGATAATGGGAGGGGGCATTCCTCCCCCCATCTCTGATTATTCCCCTGAAGGCTTTGGAGGGGTGTTTGATTAATGGGGGTTCCAGGCCCCATTACCCACCTTTAGCTGGCAGCAACTGTGTCAGGGAGCCACTCTGAGCCCAGAGTGGCTCCTTGTGTCTTATGCTGCTATGGCCAGGCCAGGAGACTCTCTCAGCATGCTCTGCCACAGGTGCCTGAGCCCAGAACCTCTCCTTGTGTCTGCTGCCACTACAGCCAGGCAAGGAGCTGCTCTCTTATTACTGCTGCTGCCGCCAGGCAGTGAGCCAGTCCTGGCATCCACTATGGTGGTGGCTAGCATGGTGTGGTTCCCTGTGCCACTGCCAGCTGAACAAGTAAGTGCCTCCTCTGCACTTGCGCAGAGAGTGCTACTGTACTTGGAGGTATTTTTTAAAAAACAGTGTGTATGTTTTCAGACTTTTCTGCAAACCTGGGGAATGCCCAAGTTTGAAGAAAGATCTGTTTAGCCTCCCAGTGGCTCTGATCTGTGGATTTAGCTATCCACAGATGGGGACCAAGGATTGCTAATAGTATATAGATATCATGCACACAGAGATTGGAGAGCAGATATATGCAGCTGGCACTTTATCCATGCACAGACATGATTGGGAAATGTGTCAACATGAAGTGTTAGTTTTGATCTGGAAATTAAGTTCAACCTAAGCAATTGTAACATATGTTCTTGGGTCTTTATTGTATGAACTGGCCACTAGATTTTATCCTTGCTGCAGATATAACAGATTAACCCTCTTGTGTTGAGAGCATTCCTGACTGATCTCAGATATCACAAGGGAACAGGAGGGAAGATGCTGCCTCTGAAGTGTGTGAGGAATAGGGATCAAGTGATACAAAATGCCAAAACTATCATTTCGTATTGTGTCCAAAAAGACAATAAACTAATCTAGACCCACTAAATGATGTCATTAGGTAACATTTTGTTACATGAAATTGTTATTGCTTTCCAAAATTATGGGCTAAGCTGTAAATGTCTAGTGCAAACAAACAAAATTATTGACACGAGGTCGATCTTTTAGTTATAGTGACCATCTGTTGCTGCTGGACAGCAGACCGTTCTTTCATGAATGTCACATAGCAGAAAAACCCTGCAAGTGGCAAGCATGAATTCCAATCAGACACCAGAGTTCAGTGTGTGCCCTTGTAATCTGCCAACAGCCTGCAGATGAATCAGAACAGGTTTTAATTGACTTTGGTAATGCAGAGGGACTTAGTCTTTCTGAAAGTGAAATACATCTGTTCCCTCTCCTTCTGCTGTTTAGCTGCTGGTTAGTTCTTAAAAGTAAGCCATTAGTAGATTAAAATGTCAATACGCTAACATCCTTCTGTTGCATTTATCCACAAGCCATGCATTTAATATACTCTGACTACTGGGATGTCTGACATGAGTCACAATGCCTGCCTGATTAATATTTGCAATCCTGGCAGTGGCAAAAATGAAATATTAACACACGACAAGGAAAAATGAATAGATTTCTAGCATGGTGATCAACTTGCTTCTTCAATTGCTTCAGGACTGATGTTGACTCCCAGGACAAGGAATGATTGAACTCTGAGGTCATCAATGTTTTAATTCCTTGCAGAAAACTTCACAGTGTGTTAAAGATAACCGTAGTTACCAGACAGAGCTGTAGATCTGAATACAGAGCACCCTTCTTCTAACAGAAGTCTTCCACTCATAGAAGAACTCCTCCTATGAGACAATGGGTGACTCGTTGGATTGAATCCCAGTGTTCCGGACTCACACAGCACAGACACTTGTGGTTCATGAAGCTCAGACCTGCCCTTCAGTTCTCTCATGGCTGGCATACCATGGCTTTAGTTGGGTACCTGATACATTCTGGTAAGAAAACATATGGCATGAGGGAACATGGTTTCTAACTAACAGTTTTGGAAATGTCACCCCTATTGCAGTACTATAATAGACCGAGCATGGAAAAGAGACCATCTTTGTTTTTGTTTTAAATAAATATAATCTCAACAGTAATTTCAGTAACAATTTATTATTATTATTAGCAGTATTTTTAGCTGTGCTCTGGATCTGTTGATAGAGGCTTCAGGAGATTTTCCTGAAATCAATGGAGAGCACATGCTTTGTATCCAGAAGTCCCAACTTTGTTCTCTGGACCCTCCAGTTAAAAGATCTCAGGAAGCAAGTTCTTGGAAAGATATCTGTCTGCCTGATACCCAGGAGAGCTGCTGCCAATCAGAGCAGACAGCACGGAACCAGATAAACCAATGGACTTTCTCACTGTAAGGTAACTCCATGTATTCCTGCTTTCAGGAACTGTCTTTAAAAATTGACAAAATTAATTATGGCCAATAGCGTGAACTCTGTTGTTTTAAATACTCCAGCAATGGAAATAATGCCACTGTAATAAAGATTTTTGTAAAATAACACAATGATCCTATATTTGAGTTTTGCCTGGTAAATGAGACAGAATTGCTCCAAAGTCACCCCTGACCTGGCAGGCTACACCAGTAAAAACAAAACATAACAAAAACACACATCAGCATAACAATGTCCTTGTACCCATTGAGATACTACCCCTAAAGGAGTACAACCAGCACAATCACAGAAGGTACACAAACTGTTTAGAGTACATTGTGGCAAGAGAGGACTAATAGGCAGGCCTCGGTTCCTGCCGGAGTGCACCGGAGCACCACTCTGCCAATCAGGAGCCCAGGGGGCGGGCACATAATCCCCGCCCCTGCTCCCACCAGCCATCAGTTGGGACACGGTGGGGGCAGTGGAACGTCCCCCCACCTCCCTGAGCCCCGGGGTGGTGGCCTTGGACTCGTAGGGATAAATTCCACCTCTCCCAGATCTCCTTCTCAGCTCCTTAAAAAGTTATGGCGGCAGCTGCGATGCCCGCGGGGGGGGAGGGGGGCAAAATGTTCCCTTGCCTCCCTGAGCCCCGGGGTGGTGGCCTTGGACTTGTAGGGGCAAATTCCACCTCTCGCGTGTGATGTCTGAGTGGCGTTGGCTCCCCCAGCTCTCGGGAGGGGCTCTTTAAAAAGTTATGGCCGCCGTGTTCTCGGCGGCAGCTGCGACGCCCGCGCGCAGGGGGGAGGGGTGGGGTGAAATGTTCCCTCGTCTCCCTGAGCCCCAGGGTGGTAGCCTTGGACTCGTAGGGGCAAATTCCACCTCTCGCGTGTGATTCCACCTCTCGCAAATTCCACCTCATGCGAGAGGCCATTTTGGCTCCCCCAGCTCTTGGGAGGGGCTCTTTTAAAAGTTATGGCCACTGTCGCTGTTCTCGGCAGCAGCTGCGATGTCTGCGTGGGGGGAGGGAGGAGGCGAAACGTTCTCTTGCCTCCCTGAGCCCCGGGGTGGTGACCTTGGACTCGTAGGTGCAAATTCTACCTCTCGTGTGTGATTCCACCTCTCGCAAATTCCACCTTTCGCAAATTCCACCTCACGTGAGAGGTCATTCTGGCTCCCCCCGCTGGAAAGGTAAAAGGCAGAAAACATGAACTGGTTTGATTTCTGAAGCTTGTGAGGCAGTAGAATGCCCCCTCCCCGGCACCAAGCTTGCAGGGAATCTCCAGCTGACTCTCCTCTACTTGGCCTCCAAGTTTGATGAGGATTGGATTTATGTAGTCTGAATTACAGCCCCCCAAAGAAGGTGCCCCAAGAAAGTACTTTCTGGGGAAATAACGGTCATTTTGACAGGTGCAGGTTCAGGAGGTTCAGGAGCATATAGAATGGCTCCTGTGGAAGCTGGAGACATCAAAGTCAAAAAGACGTTTCCAAGTTTGGTGATGATTGGATTTATGTGGTCCAGTTACCACACACACACACCAAGAAGGTGACCCCAGGAAAGTGCTCTCTGGGGAAATGACAGGCTGTTATTTTGACAGGGACAGGTTCAGGAGTGTATAGAATGGATCCTGTGCAAGTGAGAGACATCAGAGTTGCAGGGGACCTCACCCAGATGCTCTTCTATGAGTGGCCCCCCTGGTTGCTTTGACATTTGATAAACATTTAGATTGAGTCTGGAAATGTATCCTTTCACAAGCTGCCATAAACCACCATGAACTGCTTGAAAGTTCGTGCAAGGTTCATGCTGGCTGACCTGCCACAAACTCAAGTTTGCAAACCATGAATCAGCCAAAATTCATCATGAACTTTAGCTCATGAGCTGTTTCATGCTCATCCCTATTCCCCACCTCCATTTTATTCTTACAACAGCAACCTGTGAGTCAGGTTAGGCTGAGAGACAGTTACTGTCCTGAGGTCATTCAGTGAGCTTCAACACTATAGTGGAATTTCAACCTGGGTCTCGCATATTCTGTGGGTTTGACATTCTAACTACTACACCATGCAATGGACTTAGAAGGGTGTAATTCTGCTTAGGACTGTACTGGTGCTTTACTACAATTCTGCTAGGACTTTGATCTGTCTATTGAGTTCATCTAACCAAGTCCTCTGAGCTAGTTTCACTCTAACTACACATGATGCTAGAAGATCCATGATCAGTCATCCCTGTCCTGGTCCCCCAGTAGGTGGGAAAGCTGATGGGAATGGTAATTGTGCTTGCAGAATTACTTTCCAGGTAAAGTGTTCATCACTCATCTATCCCAGCACCCCTGCTGCTATCACTGGCAGTCTTTAAGAAGTGGCTGGACAAACACTTGTCACAGATGCGCTAAGCTGATCCTGCATTGAGCAGGTTGGACTAGATGGCCTCTATGGGACCTTCCAACTCTGTGATTCTATTATTCTATCAGGTTTAAAGCCCCCTTAGCCTGTATTTCACTGGGGGGGGGAAACCCTAAGAGATCAATCATCCAACTCCTGGCATCCGACATAGTTGCCGTCCCAGTTGCTAGAAGCCTCCCTATTTTACCCATTTTGGGTAAACACTTTTTATATGTCCTTATTCTTGAAGCATCAAAAACTATTCCTTCATGATGCTTTCAACTCTCCACTTAAAAAATCTTCCAGCTTTTCATAGTCAGTCTTTATATCTTGTTCTTGTTAATACACTCAAACCCTTTGACCCAATCTGTTCTACATTCAGTACAGTATTTGTTCTCAACTTTGCTGAAATCATGAGAGTCATCTTCAGATTTTCAGCAGCAGATATTCATATTCTAAGGATAGGGTGGTTGACAAAGGTTAATCTCTGGGTGCATTTTTACATGCCATCAGGGGCAGGGCTTTTGCAAGCATCAATAAGAAGAGAAGAAGAGATTGGATTTATACCCCACCCTTCACTTGGAGTCTCAGAGCGGCTTACAAACTCCTTTCCCTTCCCCTCCCCACAACAGGCACCCTGTGAGGTGGGTGGGGCTGAGAGAGCTCTGACACAAACTGCTCTTTTTCAAGGACAGCTGTGCCAGAGCTTGTGACTGACCCAAGGTCACGTCAGCAGGTGCAAGTGGAGGAGTGGGGAATCAAACCCGGTTCTCCCAGATTAGAGTCCACACACTTAACCACTACACCAAACTGGCTCTCAAGAGAAGAATCCATTATTGTATGGAATAGACATATATTTTACTTTCCCCTTCATCTGGTCCCCACATACACCGCTGCTAGAAAATAGTGGTCCTGATACCCTTGCACTGTTTGCAGAGCAGCTTGGGCTCCTTCTCCTCGGCCTAGGACAGGCACCAGCAGTCCTTGTATTGCCCTCCCACATGAGTTCAGGGGCTGATCACCACTGTTCCTTGATTAAGCTACTGACTTCCCAGCAGCTGTAAGGGATCCACTGGCCATGTGTCCTAGCAACAAGAGAAGATAGTGGGCTTTCCCCCTCCCACCCAGAACAATAGCAAGGATCTGACTGGGCAGGCAATTATTTCCCAACCAGTGTGGTCAAGGAAGGAAGCAACTGCCCCATCAGGACCTTTGGCAGCTTTCAGCCTGTTGGTTTGAAAGCTGCTTTGCAACTAGGGCAAGGTGCAGCAAGTTATTTATTGTAGAATATATGAGGATTATGATTGCATGTGTCCCTCTGGAAACCACTCCCTGCCGCATTTTAAACTACGGGACAAAGTTCCCAGAGCAATTGAACACACTCAGGGAAAACAGGAGACTCCCACTTTTACTCTTGCTGCCAGAGCAAACAATACCTCAGAATGGGAAAGGTAAAAGGCAGGAAACACAGGAGTTCAGTTCTTGTATCTCCTCTTTTATCTTTCTTTAGCTCTCTTGCCATGGTCAGGTTGCAGGCTTGTTATTTCAGACAACCACAGAGGGCCAAGTTAACCCTGTAAAGCATCTTTACTGAAGTTAAGCTACCTGCTATGTTTTTGTACATCCTGAAATTGGCCTGAGGTGACCCAGCATGGGGGCCCTTGGAGCTTATTATATGACAGGCAAACTCATAAACTCAAGAGAGAAAATGGCAGTCTTTCAGACCCAGCTTCAGTCATTGATTATGCAGCTTTCACTTGCTAACTTTTAATTAATTTTATATGCCAGAAGCTCTGGCGTCAAGTCAGCATAAAGATTTTGTTCATGATACCGGAAAGCCCTCAGAGTGCTTGGTGCCAAATTGTGTCCCTTGGCCCAACATTAAAGAAACTGTTCTTTATGCTTATATCTTTTTTAACCTGTTTAAATGCCATGTATCAAATTAGGAAACATGAATAAATAAATTGTTGAGAAGTGAAATCCAAAATTCCACCCAATCAAAAAAAAACATGGTGTCTGTGAATTGCACACTTACACTGAAGTCGTATAAAGTAGCAAAGTTCATCGCATTTGCTTCTTCTGCTCTTGGCACAGTTTTTCTCGGTAAGCTGCCGTAGGGCTTCCCCATCAGTGCCTCCATTCAGACAAAGGGAGAAGTGTTCATATTTTAATCACATTTCCAACAAACAAAAGATCAGCATGCAAAAACAGTGGTAAAGGGGTTGATAGAATCTGCAGTTTATAGACATTACCAATATATTTTACAGTGTTAAGGAACTGGTAGTTTGTGAATTTGCCCTAAAATTAGATGACCTAGAAGAAGGCTTAGAGCCTGCTGTATAAGATGTTTTAATTAATATTAAAATTGTTTTAAGCCATTCCTCTTTTTGGTAGTCTTATCTGTGGGATCTAAAAATACTGCAGGAAGGGAACTTCCTGGTAATTTTTAAACATTACTTTCCTGTTAGTGCTTCTGCTAATGCTTACACTGAAAGGTAATGTTGAGGAATTTGCATGTGAAACATTACCTTTGACACTAATTAACAAGAAGGATCATCACACATCACCTCACTGAAATTTCAGTTATTCAACTACATGGCTGGGATTCTAAGGTCTACAAAAGGAGCAGAATTTGTAGGAGGGGCCTGTGCTGTTTCCCCCTTGCACGGAAGCCCCCCCAACCACTCCATGTCCATTTCAAAGCGGCTTCTGAGGACTGGGGATTCTTGGGGACAGTGCGGGATGCTATGCAGCGGACTGCAGCATGAAGAGAGACTCATTTTGAGTATTACAGTTTTGGCTTGATGGTGGTCTTCTTCACAGTGAAATTTTAACTAAAGGGTACAGCTCTTACTTTAGCACTTCAGACTTATCTGACATTTAAATCAGAGACATGACAAAAATGGCTGGGCATTCCCACTGAATCATCCTTACCTCAGGCACCATAATAAGACCAAAGGTCAGTCCAAAAAGAACCAAGTTTATTCCATACATCCATCGCAAAAATATGAAATATGAGGCAACTGAAGAGCCAAAGTGACCTATTAAATATGAATAAAAGAGATAAAATTGGCATGTGAATGGTTCATTTTCTCTGAACTCTGCAATTGGAATAAGATCGATCCAAAATGTTTATTACTAGCAGACCACAAATTAGTGATTTCCTCATAAATTGCTCATAATAAATGTTCCGGAATGTTTGGACGGAGTAGCAGTGTAAAACTATACCACTTGTAAAGTTGGGTCAAAAACATAGGCTATTTTATTAATCCCAAATCCTTCTTATCTTTAGAATACTACCTTCTCAGCACCATACTGAGCTGCACTTTCATTTAAGCCAGTAGGGAGAAGCAGTGATATGGTCCCTGACAGCCAGGCTGGCCCCAGCTTTTTGGACCCCCTAGACTATGGTGCCCAAGCCACCACCACCACCCCACACACTGCCTTTCTCGCCTCCTTGCTGTGGGGAGGGAGGGGGAGGGGGGAATACAGTGCCTGCTCTTATCCGTCCTGCCCTCTGTGGGGCAAAGGGAGGCTGTGTATAATTCCAGAGGGTAGCTGTGTTAGCCCATTCCAAAAAATTCAAGAGCTGTGCACCTTAAACAGTAGCACACTTCTATTTCAACATAAGCTTTTGTTGGCCAGAGCCCACTACTTCAGATGCAACAAATGGATCATTAAGGTAGTGTATTGACCTTCCTGGCTTCATTATGAGGAAGTTCTGAGTATTCATTCTCTTAGCAAGAGGACTTTTACTTTCCTGTTGTAGTTCATTTTGGCTGGCTCTTTCTAGCAGCTAGTTCAATTTTCTCATGTTGTACTTTTGTAGTTTGTTGTTGCTCAGTCGCACAGTCAAGTCTGACTCTTCGCGACCCCATGGACCACATCATGCCAGGCCCTCCTGTCTTCTGTCGTGCTCCGAAGTTTCCTTAACTTCATGTTTGTTGCATCGATAACACTGTCTAACCATCTCATCCTTTGCCGTGCCCTTCTTCTTTGACCTTCAATCTTTCCCAGCATCAGGGTCTTCTCCAGTGAGTGCTCCCTTCTCATTTGGTAGCCAAAGTATTTGAACTTCAGCTTCAGTATCTGGCCTTCCAGGGAACAGTCAGGGTTGATTTCTTTTAGGATGGACTGTTTTGATCTCCTTGCAGTCCAAGGGACTCTCAAGAGTCTTCTCCAGCACCATAATTCAAAAGAATCTATTCTTCGGTGCTTGGCCTTCCTTATAGTCCCACTCTTGCAGCCATACATTACTACTGGGAATACCATTGCTTTGACCATACGGACTTTTGTTGGCAGGGTGATGTCTCTACTTTTTATTATGCTGTTTAGATTCGCCATCACTTTCCTCCCAAGGAGCAGGCGTCTTTTAATTTCATGGCTACTATCACAGTCTGCGGTGATCTTGGATCCCAGGAATTTGAAGTCTGTCCCTGCTTCCATGATTTCCCCTTCTGTTTGTCAAGGAGTGATGGGGCTGGATGCCATGATCTTCATTTTTTTGAATTTGAGTTTCAAGCCAACTTTTGTGCTCTCCTCTTTGACCCTTAGCAAGAGGCTCTTTAGGTCCTCATCACTTTCTGCCATTAGAGTGGTATCGTCTGCATATCTGAGGTTGTTGATCTTTTTCCCAGCAATCTTAATTCCGGCTTGTGATTCATCCAGGCCAGCATTTCGCATCATGTACTCTGCATATAAATTAAATAAGCAAGGTGAAAATATACATCCTTGTCATACTCTTTTTCCGATGCTAAACCAATCAGTTGTTCCATATCCAGTTCTAACTGTCGCTTCTTGAGCCTCATACGGGTTTTTCAAGAGACATATGAGGTGGTGTGGTACTTGCATCTCTTTGAGGACTTGCCATAGTTTGTTGTGATCAACACAATCAAAGGCTTTAGCATAGTCAATGAAGCAGAAGTAGATGTTTTTATGGTACTCCTTTGCTTTCTCCATAATCCAGTGAATGTTGGCAATTTGATCTCTAGTTCCTCTACCTCTTTTTGAAACCCAGCTTGTAATTCTGGCAGTTCTCGATCCACGTACTGTTGAAGCCTAGCTTGTAGGATCTTGAGCGTGACCTTGCTAGCATGTGGTATGAGTGCAATTGTGCGATAGTTTGAACATTCCTTGGCATTGCCCTTCTTTGGGATTGGAATGTAAACTGACCTTTTCCAATCCTGTGGCCACTGTTACAATAACATTAACTGTTGGCTATTTAATGAGGTTGCCGTGGGGCCACTGTGATTAGGAGATCTCCTGCCTCCAGCAACCCTTGCCCACCAGCACTCCAGTAGCTGGAGGGAGGGAGAAAGAAAACATTTTGAAAAATGGCCTTCAGTGATGGTGTGATGTCACTTCCAGGAAATGTCACATCACTAATCTCTAGGAATCTCTGGAAATTTTATAATAAAATGTTTTTGGCAATTCTTAGAGAGGGCTGACATCACTTCCAACGTCACATCACGAATCTCTAGGAATTCTTAGAGAGGGCTGACATCACTTCCAAAGGAAATCCAGAACTGACATCAGTTCTTTCTAGGAACCACCAAAAACTCTGTGGAGTTCCCAGAAGTGATGTCATGCCATCACTGATGGCCCCTGTCCCCCCATGTCCCTGCCTCACGCAGTATCCTGCTGGTTGCCAAGCCATGCCTGGCAAACCATTTACCTTCTGTGTTCATTTATCTTTTACGCTATCTCTCCCTCTGGGTGAAATTGGAACTTGGGATTCATATCTCACTTCAAGATATCTTTGCACAACCTAAGACTCCCCACATATGGCAGGGGTTAACTAGCTCAGCATCCCTAGTGACTGGTCTCTGTATTTTCCTTGATTATTTTGAATTTTCCATAATTGTATTTCATCCTGTGCTTTTTGCATTCCACAGTCCCTTGATGATGCTGTTTGTTTCCTTCATGGCTGTGGTGGAAAGGGCTGTCAAGTCACAGCCAACTTATGGCAACCCCGTGGAATTTCCAAGGTTTGCCATTGCCCGCCTTTGTGTCACAACCCTAGTATTCCTTGGCGGTCTCCCATCCAAATACTAGCCGGGTCCAAGCCTGCTTAGCTTCCGAGATCTGATTAGATCAGGCTAGGAAGCTTTAGGCTACCTTCATACTTCTTACAGGTTTGAGCTGTCTGACCCACAGGCATCTGCAGCTGCCTCAATGTCCACACAGAGCACAGGGTCCCCGAAGGGCAGAAGGAGGGGGGGTGTTGTTTCCACCCTATGCATTTGTTCACTGGAGGGTGTGCTTCCCAGCAGCCCAGCCACATTGCTGAGGGCACTCCTGCACCACCCCTGCCAGTGGAGGAGCAGGAGTGGCAGCTACTGGTGTGGGCTCAAATGTGGAAAATTATAGCACCACCCTCAGATCCCTCAATTCCCTCCTCGATGGAGCAGAGGTGGTCTTGGACTGGAATGACTGCCATTCCACTCTGGGCTCTGTCATTCCAGTCCCAGAGCAATCAGTGCCCAGAGACTCTCATTCCAAATCCATTCTGCATTCATCATTACTTCCATGTGTAGTACTGTAGTAGTAATGTATCACAATGGAAACCATGCAAGTCATGTGGCATTCCCGGCTGTCAATATGTCCAATGGGCATACCCCCAAAACCCCACTCCCTCCAAAAACATTGAGTCTACCCACTGCATTGGCTCCCCCACAGCCATTGACTCCAGGGACACCTGTGATCCTGTGCCCCTTCAGTTTTAACTTCACAGGTGTCTTCCCCCTTCCTAGATAAGAAACACAGTTATGAACTCCATTCATTCACTCTATTAATTTCTGAAATTTCTCCCCCAAGTGGCTTGCATCATTTCCCTCTCCTCCATGTTATGCTCACAACAAGCCTGTGAAGCTGGTTAGCCTGAGAGTGTGTGTCTAGCCCAAGGCTGCCAACCTAGCTTCCATGGTACAAGTGGGGAATGGATCTGGGTCTCCCAGATCTAGTCTCATGCTCTAACCAGAACATCAAGCTAGCTCATTCACCCAGACCACCCTCTGGCCCTTTCCCCCTTCACATAGCAGCCTGCAAGGTGAGGAAGGGAACCTGTTGTTAGGTCAGCTTTGGAGATGCCACTGGGCCCCTGCTATGGTTGGCAGATAACTATGACCAGTGGGACCTGCACGACCATCCACAGCCACCCAAGGCACCCAAGAGCCCTCCCTCTGAGACATGTCCCTGGGAAACCCTCAGAGGGAGTCACAGATGAGCTTGGGAGGGAGTGGGGTAGAGAGGGGTATGGAGCTCCTGTCATGTAGTCAAAACCAGAGACAGAGTTCTGGCACAACACAGGCTTTATTAAACTGCAAACCATGGTGAGGTGTGAAGACTCCATTCTCTTCCTCACTGGGGCCACGAGGAAGAGGACTGAGGATCCCTGGGATGGTATTGCAGGTGGAACTTGGAAGGGCTGGCAGGGTGCTACACTCCACATCAAGAAGAGGTCTGGAACCACAGACTGAGCAGAGTGTGAGTGTGAGTCTCCCTGTTGAATCAACAAAGTAATGTCAAAGGTCTGGAACCACAGACTGAGCAGTGTGAGTGTGAGTCTCCCTGTTGAATCTCCCTGTTGAATCAACAAAGTAATGTCCAGCCAAAGCAAGCAGACATGATTGCCATGCTGGGCTCAGCCATGGATGTGTTGTCCTGGCAAGGTCTACAAATGCAGCCCCATGGGGTGGGGCTTCACCACAACCCCCCCCCCCGAGACACATGAGGATACCATCTGAATTACACTCACCTGTCCTGTGTTGAAGTGCTCAGGGATTGCTGGTGATCCATTCACAGCAGCACCTGCAGCTGCTGCTTGAGTCTCTGATTCTGCAAGTCATGTGTAAAAGTGATTGCACCACTTGGAAACTCAAGTCTCTGATTCTGCAAGGAAATGAATGAGAGTCTATGAGGACTTCGCCCACTTCCCTCCCTCAGAGGCGAGATTTTCTTTCTATTTTTTCTCTACCTTTCTGACTGAGCAGCTCTGTTTATTTGTTTTCTTCCTTTCTGAAGAACAATGGCTCTCCCACCCTGTCACAGTATGATATTTTGCTGTTGGCTCAGCCCAGGAATCTGAGGGAAGGGTTGGGATCCCCCTTAACTTAAACCACTGAAATGGTATTCAAGGCTTTTTAAAGTTCAAAAATAACAAAATATTTTATTCAACACAGAGGGGAAAGGTCAAGTGAAATCAGGAGTAAAATTTCTGAGGTATATCAATATAGACACAGACTACAGTTCGTATGTTTCAAGCAATTGAGAGTTTCTTAAGCTTTTCAAAGTGACTCAGAATCTTTAAGATGAGAGGCTTTTGTTTCAGTGTTTCCCAAACACTCTGATATACTTTCTTGAGCTTATTTGGCTCTTTTGGTTTCCAGAATGTAGGGATACTCTATCCAGTACCCAAACTCCTTCACTAAACAATTAGTAGTCCTCTTGAGTTTTAACTCACTTTTCAGGTTTTAAAAAGCAATTTCTAAACACACCAGACCAGGGATTACTCCACTCATCGGAACTATCTCCCTTTCCCAACTACATAGGGAATTTCTTCTCTCACTAGAAGATCTATCACATTTTCTGTCCTGAACAGGAAGTCTTCTTCAATCTACCCACTCCTCTTTCCAACCTTCCCAGTTCTGTGTTAAACTGCTCTCAGTCTGGGCTAAGCAGAAACCCTGTCAGTACTAAACCTTTTCTGTTGAGCAGGGAGAGACTTCAGAATTAAATACTGAGGAGACTATAGTCTGAGTCAAGCCCTGATGGAGAAGAGCTGGGTGCTAACTGAGTCTGAATTCAGCTCTTAATGAGAAGAGTCTAATACTAACAGAGTCTGAGATACTCAGTATTAGACTCTTGTCTGAATTCAGACTCAGACAGTACCCAACTCTTCTCCATCAGGGCTTGACTCAGAGATAAAATCGGTGAGGATGCAGCGGAGGGGGGAACACTTGAGAGCGACAGAGCAGTGCTGGGGGCCTGCGCCATAGTAATTGGCATTTATGCTGGTGTATCTCAAACATATGCCGCTGCAATGGTTAGTTGGCTCCCTTAATGCTTTTGGGGCCTTCTTTAGGATTGCACTGTTAATCTCCCAACTAGTGTGGGTTTGAAGGCTATCAGCTGTCTATGCCCCAATGCAGAAAACCAACAAGGATAGGTAATAAAATTCTCTGCTTTCTGTGCTCTGTCCCCCCACCAAATCCCTCTCTTGAATGACAAGTGGTACAAGCAATGGAGTATCTAATATCTCGTATGAGCTTTCAAGTATTAAGCATAGGCTTGATATCCTCCCAAGGATAGTAGGCAAACTCCCAACCTGTCAGACCTCTTCATTCCAGCAGGAGCAAAGGGCAGCATTGTGATGTCATTTCTAGTTGCTTTCCATATTGCCTCCAAAATTAATATTGTAAAAAATGAGAGGTGAGCAAATTCCTACAGCATTATGATGTATCTTCTGGGTACAAACCAGAAGTGATGTCACAGTACTGCATGTCTTCTCACAATGTCACTCCCTCCCCTAGAAACGTTCCCATTGTTTGTCAGCATTTAGGTAGCAATCCTAATCACATGCTACAGGACTGCTGATATTCTCACTACAGAACTGTGTTTCGTTATTTCACTCAATAAATCTATCTCTGAATATTCTACTATAGTCTAACCTCTGCATTACTCCAAGCTCACTATGGAGCCCCATCATAGATCCTTAAAGCAGAGTGTGGTGGTCTGAGTTCAGATTTTGACACGTTTCTTCCAAGTCAGGTGTTAAATACCAGACCAGCAATTTTTCTAGAACAGAGGTGAGAAATGGTGGAGGATATTGTGAGGCAAAGCACCCCAGCCTCCTCTCAAGGGTAAATGTGAATAATAATGGGCCTTGTCTGTTCTGCAGGTGTCACTAATTGGTTGTTGGGCCTACATCACTCTTATCATCTTCAAAGCAAGTAGTTAGCTTCTCACGAGAATCTGCAGTCTGTGTGATAGGAGGAGGAGAGCCAGGGGTGATGAGATAATTTTCTAGAAGTTTCTCCAGAGTGTGTGTTCTGTTGGAAGTCATCCTTACCGGATGTTGCCAGGCCAAAAACTATAATTCAGCTAAGGCCCAGAAGAAGAGAGACTAGCTGGGATCCTGGTGGACTAAAGGCCTAAACTATGACTTGCTTGAATTGCAATTGCTAGCAACGTAGAGAACGCCTCCGTTCTGGCCTTTGACGTTGAAAACTAAGTTTTGTGATTTATAATGCTAGCCGAAAG